ATCAATCTTCGGAAGACAATGAGTGATGGCCTGTTTTGTAAACAATTCTTTGTCTGGGACCATGCAGGGCGCACAGGAAATATAACAGGGCGCTGACAATTTAAAGAGGGCGCCAATTTCAGATAACAGGGCGCGGCGCCCTGTAAAAACCCCTCGTGGAGAACCCTGTCTTGTTTTTTGAAAATGTTGTATTTTGGACATTCTTTGTCAGTTTTCATTCAAACTTGGTACATAGTTTATACATGTTAGGATACATGTCCATGACGATTTATTTCGCAATTGGATCAATGATGGTCGACTGGCAGGCATCTTGTTTTTGTTTTTTATGCGGTATCTTGGACGTGCTCTGTCAGTTTTCATTCAAATTTGGCACATACTTTATACATGTTAGGATGCATGTCCATGACAATTTGTTTCAAAATCTGGTCAAGGATGGCCGATTGACAGCCATCTGACTTTTTGGCCTTACTCTATATTTCCACAATTTATGTACCATTTTCATTCGTATTTGGCACATACATCATACATATCAGTGTGTTTCATAATCAGATCAAAGATGGCCGAATAACAGCTGTTTTTATTTTTGGCACGTGTTTTGATGTAAATAAACAATCTGTTGTATACGACAAGTTTCAAGGACACTCTCGCGACAACCCCTTCGCTTTAATATGACAAGCACAGAGAACTTTCAAAAATTTAACGAGGAGCTCGGGACTGTGTCATTTTCAATGACTTGTTCAATTTTAAATTGTATTATGTAAATTAAAATCATCGAACAATATTGAGTAGTATCGAAAGTTAAATGTTCGAAGATTTGTACAATAAAGTTCATGTTCAGCAGCAGTTTTAGTATCATTTCCTACTAAGAAATCACTCAGCTTGCTTTGCTTAGCTATTCTGAATTTGTATGTTTCTTTTAATATTTATTGTGTCTCGTAACTGTCTCGGAATGTCTCTGGGCTATAGCAAATTCTTTATTTTTTTCAAAAATCTTCCTGACCTACCTCACTTGCAAAATCAAACATTACTTTGCACAATCAAAATCTGGGCAACTTCCATGTCATCGTACTGCTGCAACAATAGAAACGTGTGAAATATGCCTGGTGACTTTGGCCGGCGAACTGACGTCAATTCAACATCATTGTTAAAAGCATCTATTGTTACATGTACCAAGACAGTAGCGACCAAAACAAAAATTGTTGAACGAATTTAGTTGGACAACAAGACGATACTGCACACACATTCCCTCACAGTGATCGATACACAGTAAAGGAAGCGACTCTACTTTTTGACCTGAGTTATCATAACCCCGGAAGAACAAGAACGCACATGCGCAAAACTAATTAGCATTATTTATTTGGATGGATAACAGGCATGGCCGTTGCGTTGACTTTTTTCTTTTTGCTATCAGTTCCAGATACATGCACATTTGTCGATATTTATAGGAGTTCAAAGTGAATAAATATTGATACTAAATAACAAGTGAGTTGTTACGTTTTTTTGTTGGTAATCAATTCGATCAAGGATTTACCGTCTGCATCCCAATTCACCCTGGCGGACTGTGCCCCAGCGATTCACAAAACGTTTGTGGGTCATCATCGTTGTGGCTGCTTGATTCATTGAACAAAACCTCAGGTGAAAAGCACTTCTGTTATTTACATGGTATACATATTTCAACAAAACATTAATTCTTAATTATGTTGTTGGCGTTCCATGGCCATCGGTACGGTGTGTTGGCCGTACGTGGTAAACTGAATAAAACATAATTGCCGAAGCTAATCTTCGTTGTAACCCAGCATGCATCGGTTGTGATGTCACTACATGCGTTACGTCGCCTTAGGGTGGCGTTCCTCGGTAATGACGTACTATGAATGAGGTATTTCTAGAGGTCAGGGTTCGTTTTTTCCTTGTCCGTCTCGTCTGCAGTTGAATAATTTTTACTTCGATTTATTTGCGACTTAATTTCACTTGTTTTTTTAATTCTTGGTAATTAGTGTCACTGGCGATGAAGTAGTAAAAACGCAATTAATCGCAGTGCAGCAACTCGGGATAGACCATCCCGACGCAATGGGGAAATTATTACTACCCTAGTATTTTGGGTTTGCCTGCTCCGCACCCTTGATAGACTTGGTAACTTCTTTATTTTTGTAAGGCTAACTATGTACAAAGGCGGGATTACCTTTCGATCAATACATGTTATTGTTTTAAAGATGTGCTAGACGAGGCTGACACTTGTAAACAATACAACGTGAATAAGCATCGTGGGCAGGATTTCAAGGATCACGGGCGAAACAAAAGCGACGCGGCTGTTTGTCTAAGCGACGCGGGCCCGCAGTGCTTGAAAGGCCTTGGGAGAACACTGGTTCATCTGAACAACTGATCACTGCCGTTGGCCGCGTTAGACAGGTGGCTGCTTTATACAGGGTGTTTTACATGTAAATTTCGTAGGGACTGTTTGGTTGCGCCCGCTATAGGCAGGTGGCCGCTGTATCCATTTGGCTGTTAACACAGGTTTGACTGTATATCGCTTTGAGTAATTATTTCGCGAACTTGTTCTTTACTTGGGTTAAGCACATTTCTAACACTACTTCCATCTAATAATATAATTTTAACATGAAAGTAGTTTCTCACTTTGTATTTTTATGTACCCATAGATTAAACCAGAGTTTGGTCATAGCATACTTTCAAAATGTTATCTGAATTAATTACTGGCAGTGTGTACTGTTAAATGTGAGGACAAATGGCATGGACTCTTAAATTAACACTACAAAACTCACAATTTATAGAGACACACAGTAGCTGAAGTGCTCAGACTAATTTTGAATGCTGATGGGAAAGGTCACTGAAAATTAATGAATGTATTTGTAATTTAATATTTTAAACATAAATATTTACTTGCATATTCTACTGTTTAGCCACATTTTTGTTTATTTGCATTTTGACATTCAATTTCTTCTCTGTTTGCTTTCAGTGCAATTGATATCAAAGATCTTAAACTATTGAAAACAGCTGAAGCTGTTGTTGAGGAAGAAAAGGAGCGGGAGAGGAAAAAAAAGAACTACAGTGTGAGAACACCAAAGAAAGGATGTAGTTTAGACTCTGCAGATATCAAGAAAGGAAAAAGTGAGATCATATCGGAGAATAACAATGCAGCATTCCATAATGGAGTCAGTATTTTACCTAAAAAGGTCTCCAACGGTACCTTTCAGCAGAGTTGTAGTAACATTAAACTGCATGGAGAGAAGTCACATAGTTATGGAGATAAAAGCCAAAATGGAGGAAAGTCTAAAAAGTCAGACTTTCTCCGGAGATCAGACACTGCCCCAAGCAAACTGTCTGACTCTTATAAAGGTTGTGTGGAGAATGGTGTACGTCAGAATGGTAGTAGCAGTAGCCACAAACTAGGTAGTAGTGATATTTCTTGTGTGAAAATGACACCAAAGAAAGATGATTTGAGTAATGGTCTGGTTCTAGGAGATAGTTTTGAACTGACTGGAGGCAGACCACAAACACTGAAAGGTGATGAGAGTCCAACTCAAGCTTATGTCAGACAGAGGATTAATTCAGGTACTTATATTCACATGTTGCTGGCAAAATGTTAATATCTAGTATTACCGGTACATGGTAATTTTTTGGAAATTTCAAAATGAAAATATATTACCACATATTAAATGTAGCAGAGCAAATCCAAATGGCAAATCTAGTTATGAAAGACTTACTAAGAGTTGTACACAAAGTCGTATTCTGGCTTTTAAGCTTGCCACCTGTCATTTTCAGACAGGACTTCATGTTTTACACAGGTACAAAATTTCATCTGAATTTCAACAAACCTGTCCACTCGTAATTTACAAAATAACAATAAAATAATCACCAAACAAGAGACTAAAATTATGTGGCTACTGACTGTCTTTTATTCCGATATTGTTTTTAGATGGGCACATTCCATTTCCCCTTTGTAACAAGTATCAAAAAAGCTATCAGAGCTATTTCAATTTGACCACATGTTAACACTTGAATTTTTTAAATAAAAAAGATGAAATGAAATAATTGTATGCAATTTTATCATTTTGAATTTCCTAAAACACAAATTGGTGAAAAAGTTTTAAATTCGTAAAATAGACATTATTATTTTCATGCATAATCCTTGAAATATGTTGTTTCTTGTAGTAGGGTCTAGTGATGTCAGGAGAAAGCCAAGTTCACCTCGGGTGATAGATCCAAGAAATGGTCACAAAATGAAGGTCAAAGACATGGCTTGTTTTAGTGCACCAATAGATGATTCCTACTTGGCAGAGTTTGATTTTGAGTACAATTTAGGCCTTTTTGACAAGGCTGCTGTTTTTGAAGAAATCAATAAAACCACATCTCATGATGATATAACACTGGAAAAGCTGAATAAGAAAAAGAAGAATTATCGATTTGATGAAAATATTTTGCAACCAGATCCATGTGCTTTGAAAGATATTATAGTACCACCTAGTACTGGACAGCATTATTATAAGACAGGTTAGTTTTGATTATTCACATATTTTGAGTCACTCCCTAGTATAATTATTGTATAGAGCAGTCAGCTTAATTATTACTTGGTTTTAATTTTGAAATAAAAACCTAGTGGCTATTCAAATTTAACAATAGAATGTTTTGTTTCCTGTGAATTTAGAACCTGTAACATCAAATCCGCTGAAATTAAACCCAGAGAATATTTTTCTTCTACAATATATAACACAAATTATGAAAAATATCATGGGTTATTTTCTTTTCTTCATTTTTACAAAACTAGGATCTGAGTTACAGCAAGTCTCAGAAGTATTGGGGCAGCCAATTTGCAAACTCGCTAGCGAATTGGCTAACTGCTTTGATTTTGACTGAACAGTTGGCTTTCGAATCTTGTTGGCGCCGACTCGTGGTCGCGTCCATCCTGGGCTGGACTTTTAGGCCACCATACACCTCCACTCCTCTCCCATTTCTCATCGTTGCAGAAGAAATGCAGGACAGCCACTCTGGACAATATGTCCTTAAAGTTGTCAAGGCGAAACTCGCTTGCCGCTATCAATCTCTCGTAGAGCTGTGTAAATGTCACATCTCCCTGGCCGAAGTCAATTGCGTACCAGTCTACAACAATTACTCCGTTTTTCCTCTGAACTTTTATGCACACGTATTTTGGTGGCGTGGTTGCCATGTTGGAATTCCCGGCAACGCAATACGCATATGCAGAAGATCATTTACGACAAAATTGGCACGTTTTGAAGTAGTCCAAAACAAGTTTTACGACAAGCCGGCGCTTTGCGACAATATGAGTCGCAAAGTTCCGGACAGAAAACCGATCTGTGGAGACTTGTTGTCGAAGATTTTTTTTTGTTTTTGTTTTGTTTTTGAAAACAGGCAAAAACTGATGCGCGCGCTGATGTCATCCATAAATTTAAGTCAGTATGGCTTTACTGGCAACTTATATTTTTGTTGAATGTTGTATATTTCCTGTAATTCGAAGTTTGTTTAACTGATACAGTCTCAGGGCTATGGCTAATTTGTTTTGACAATGTGCTGGTGAAAAAATAAAAAAAAAAATTCTTCAATGCTCAGTTTAACTTTTGAAAACAACAAATTTTTTTGATTTAAATTTTGCCGTTTTCCCACCAAAATCAAAGCCAAAAGATCGTACTACAACATCAGTAAATCTCTTCCGTGTTGCGTTTGCCATGAAGTTGCTGAATTGTCGTTAAAATATTTAAATGAGCTATTATAATTTGAACATGTTGGCAACAATGCATCATTTTGATTGGTTAATTAGCCACTTGACTTACCAGGTCAAAAAACATCTTGTTTTATCTCGTGTATGGAAAAACATGGCGGATATTGTACCACATCGGGTGTCCACACGCGACCGAAATCATTCACTTAAGGGCACAATTCACTTGCCCTGGGCAAGTGTGAATTGGAGGTGTGGCTATTCTAATGCATGGTGTTAATCACTTGCATAACCTATGACGTATCCTGTTTCAGTGGTCCAGCATCACGTGACTTTGATGACAGTAGTTAATTATTCGAGATTAGTAGCACGTCCCTTTCCCCGGTTCATATTTTTTACTTTTGTTCGCCAAAATCACAGCGTGTACACTTTTTATTGTCATAAATACTACACACAGTCACTGCTGTGGTATTCATGGTCCCATGCATCCACTTTGGCACAACATAATCGACCTGTAAGTTTGAGAAAACATGTCTTTACTGGAGCTTTGCTGGAGCTGTTTACTACAGCGTAACAAGCAAGGAAATATTTCCTATTGTTTAGGAGCGTATTTATAGTATACATGGGCTTTTAAGATGAAACTCAGTTGAATTTTACTTGCATTTCATAACAATTCAACAAATTTATTTTTTGTTATTATAATCACTACTGAGTAATAATCAACGATTGCGACACTTCGAAAACCGTGAGTTATTAGTCCCCGTTCGGACGCAGTCCGAAAACGGGGACTTATGTTTTGCCCTGTGTGCGTCCGTGCGTCCGTGCGTCCGTGATCACCTGTATCTCGAACATGCATGGACCGATTAAGTTCAAACTTCACTCATACATCACACATTATATGGGACATATGCACATGCATTTTTTTCATGATCCGATTAACGATAGCCGAATAGCGGCCATTTTAAGGCCGAAAATGCATCAAAATCGCACATTTTCACCATTCCGGACCCGGATCTCAGTTATGCATGGACGGATTTTGTTCAAATTTGGTACATACATTAAACATAATAGGACCTTGATGCACGTCATTTTTTTTTTCGGATCAAGTTCGAAATAGCTGACTGGCGGCCATTTTGTTTTAAAGAATTCAGTTCTGGATCCGTATCCGAGACATGTCTGGATTGATCAAGTTCAAACTTCACACACACAAGGTACATTATGTCACAAATATGTATGTGCATTTGTTTCATGATCTCATTAACGATAGCCGAATAGCGGCCATTTTAAGGCCGAAAATGCATCAAAATCCACATATTTTCACCATTCCAGACCCGGATCTCAGTTATGCATGGACGGATTTTGTTCAAATTTGGTACATACATTAAACATAATAGGACCTTGATGCACGTCATTTTTTTTTTTGGACCGGGTTCGAAATGGCCGACTGGCGGCCATTTTGTTTTAAAGAATTCAGTTCTGGATCCGTATCTGAGACATGCTTGGATTGATCGAGTTCAAACTTCACACACACAAGGTACATCATGTCACAAATATGTATGTGCATTTGTTTCATGATCTCATTAACGATAGGCAAATGGCGGCCGCTTTAAGGCCGAAAATGCATTGAAATCGCACATTTTCACCATTCCGGACCCGGATCTCAGTTATGCATGGACGGATTTCATTCAAATTTGGTACATACATTAAACATAATAGGACCTTGATGCACGTCATTTTTTTTCG